ATGTGTGTATTTGGACACAGATGGTTTCTCTCCGTGTTTCATTGTTTTGCTTGGTCTCATTATGCAGGAAACACGGTGTGTTTAGTTTTGCTGCCCCAAATCAGTCTTGTAATTTTGCAGTTGAGCCCATAATGTGTTATTAGTGTTTGGGTTAAAGTAGTGTAAAAGTGAAATTTTGCACTATAATCAATAGAAACGTTATTCTAAATAACTGTTTGAGTGTTAAAAGCTACAAGTTACGAGACAACTTCAAAAACATCACAGGGCTCTTTACTGTCTGAAGAAGCCAAAAAGTAAAGGGGGAATTCAAAAAGGTGAAAAAATAAATAAAAAAATCACTGTTATTACTGTGCTGATGGTCGCTATGGCAACCAAGATTTAGGTTTTTTCAAGTGGGGGGGTGTGTCAGAGGCTGTAAAGCTGTTTTTAGAGCGGCAAAGCTGTTGTTTTGTCTGTGTTCATGGTGTCGGCTGAATTGTGGAGTAATTGCTGGGTTTTTAAAAAAAGCCATGAGATGAAAGCCAGTTCAGGAGTTTCCGTTCTTTTCTCTAAATTCAGTATTTTCCACAGAAAGAGAAAAAAATTGACTTGTGTGTCAAAATCATGCGCCCATTTGTCACCACCGATGGAAGGGTCACTACAATTTCTCCGGGAGCAAAATAACACACGACGAAGCTGTTTTTTATTTACACATATTGGCGTGGAAATTAGGTTATAATCACCCCGGAGCCAAAGCCGCTGTATCATATGCTGCACGTAAACCCGGCTATAGCATAATACATGTGATCCGTTTGGCGAAGGCGGCCGCGTGCTCACTCTGGAACGTATATGTATCTGCTCTCAGCTCCTTATCAGCCCCTCACAGCGCTGCCTGCCAAGCACAAGCTCACCGCTATAGAGACATACTCACAGAGAGCAGAGAGGCAGAGAAGAGATGGGAGGGGAAAGAGAAGAAAAAAACTCCTGACACCTTCAACTTCACAGTCAGTGGTGGAAGAAAGCGAGCGTGTAGCTAAGCCGTGCCTCCGTGCAACTGCCTGCAAGCCGGAGATATTAGCCCTCGCTATTGGAGCACAAGCTAGGACCCCCCTGTAGGAGAGAGCAGGTCTGACACTGACACTGCCGTATTACAGTTCTTTGTCCATGAAACATGTTCATTTTTTGGTGTACAAATCATTCAGTATTACAAAGCAGTTGGGTCACATGGGTGAACGTCAAACAAGCTGTCAATTATTGTGGAGTGCAGACTAGTCCACTACATAGTCCTACGTATTAGGGCAGGGAGGTCAAAGTCAAATACATCAGAGGCCAAAAAAACACATTTGCTACAAACCGAGGGCTGCACTGGTTCAATGTTTATTAAAACATATCAAAATGATGCATATAAACTATTGGACCAAGACCTAACACAGTGGACCCTATCTACAGCTAGTTATGTAAGCTAAGAAACATAGCTACTAAATTTCCCCACTGTGGGACGAATAAAGGAATTCTTATCTTATTTATTAAATAAAAATAAAAAAACAGGCTCAAAAACAAAAACTTTCTTCAAAGAGAAAACACTAATGTCCTGAACATTAAATTAATGATCCAATATTTTCTTAAGTCTCTGTGCAGCCGGTTCTAATACTAATCAAATACAGTATTATCCCAGAGGCCGAGACAATTCATTCGTGGGCCGGATCTGGCCCCTGGGCCTTGACTTTGACTCCCATGTATTACGGAGTATGCAGAGCTCTCATCTTATTGTAAAAACGAATTAGTAGAAGGCTTTTTATAAAACACATTTTATAAAAGTAACCGCACCTTAATGCTCCTCACAAAGGACCGTGGAACTTGGTTACGTCATTGGGCTGAGCGTTCCATTTACGGGAGAAAGCTGCTTCTCCCATCTTCAGTCACAGGGAACTGTCATGATTCAGAAATAAAGTACAAAAAAGTACAATACTGCAAAGATAATATACATGAAAATACAGATTAACCACAACGGGCCAAGAACAGAGCCCTGTGGAGTTCCTCTCTGTTCGTAGTGTGCAGAAAGAAAATCAAATAATTTTTAATTAAACACATTTTTGTTTTACCCCAACATCACATCAGCCGTCTGTGAGGACAAATGTTTTCTGTATTTTTCTGTTTGTTGTTTTTAATTGTGGCACAAAATTGAGTTTCTAATGCACACTGCAAAATATTATAGAAAAATATGATGATAAATGCATGAATCAAGTGGTTTTATCTTAATTTGAGCACATTTTGACCATCTAAAAACTAGATTTGCCAATGGAACAAGCAAAAATGTCTTGTTTTAAAAAGATTTGAGACAATTGAAGAAATGCTTTCCTTTAAATGAGACAAAAATTGCAACTCTTGTTTTAAGAGAGTGAAAATATACTCAGTATAAAATTTAAAAAAATCTTGATGAAAGCAATTTATTACGTTATATTTTGTCACTTTTTGCAGTGTAACCAACGCCGACCTTATTAAAGCGGATTTTAAAGTTGAAAACTAGTCCACTAATACCAGTCCATTGTGGATACTGTTTACAAATAAGTTTGGACGCCCCTGCCCCAGACCGGTCGACCGGTTATGTTTAAACAAGTGAATAATCAAATCTGGTGTTCCTATTTTCCATTTCTTTAAAAATTTTAGCCAGTAATGACCGTTTAACAGGATATTCTTACAACAACTCCACTCATTTTACCACAAACTAATCACTTCTAGTTTGTTTTGATTCCACATTACTGCATTAACAGCATAATCAAACATGACATGATCTTTTTACCCTCCAAATGTCAACCTCTGCGAGCAAACACGCCGACCACAGAGAGAGGGAGCAAACTGTGTGCCTTCGCCGAGAAAGTCAATAACCCAAAATAAAAACCGCTGCAGTCAGCGTATGAGCCAACACAAAATGGACACACATTTGCAGCGGCTTGTCCAAACCCATGTCTCATTTCCTATGCACTTTCATTCTGCTTTTCATTTAATTATAGATCAGAGCGGGCCGTCCTAACAGGGTCTCTCCTCGCAGGTACAAACACTTGAATAATTTAGGATTCAAATTCGTTGGAAAGAATGCGACACGTCTGAGTTCAGTTGCAGGAAAGGATAATTGGTTTAAAACCGGTTAGATTTGAAATACTGTATATTTATGATATTTATGCACTGGTTAAAGCTCCAGGATAAGTCTCACTCTGGATGGAACTCAAGAATCTAAAATAGGATGTGTCTGCAATGTTCACTGTTTAGCTGTCATTACATAAAAAGCAATTCGGTCTCTCTCCGGTCTCACTCTGCTCTTGCTCTCTGGTCTCTCTCTCTTGCTCTCTCTGGTCTCTCTCTGGTCTTTCTCTGGTCTCTCTTTGGTCTCTCTCTGGTTTCTCTCTGGTCTCTCTCTCTGGTCTCTCTCTCTGGTCTCCCTCTGGTCTCTCTCTCTGGTCTCTCTCTGGTCTCTCTTTGGTCTCTCTCTGGTTTCTCTCTGGTCTCTCCCTGGTCTCTCTCTGGTCTCTCTTTGGTCTCTCTCTGGTTTCTCTCTGGTCTCTCTCTGGTCTCTCTCTCTGGTCTCTCTCTGGTCTCTCTCTGGTCTCTCTTTGGTCTCTCTCTGGTTTCTCTCTGGTCTCTCTCTGGTCTCTCTCTCTGGTCTCTCTCTGGTCTCTCTTTGGTCTCTCTCTGGTTTCTCTCTGATCTCTCTCTGGTCTCTCTCTGATCTCTCCCTGGTCTCTCTTTGGTCTCTCTCTGGTTTCTCTCTGATCTCTCTCTGGTCTCTCTCTTCTAAGTCTATCTATACATGTGTGGTGTGGTTAGCCATGCTTCTAAGTATATGCTTCAGATACATACAGGGGTTAAATGCTGAAACACCCAGGTCTAAGTTATTATTCTTTATCCTGGAGGACGTTGCAGCTGCTGTCTCTGCTGACGATGGAGAATTCTAAAGTCAATGCAACGACACAAATGGGAATGATTTGTGGAGAGAAGAAACAAACGAACCAAATCTGTGAAGGGAATTCTTGAAATGCCTTCACAGTTTGTCGCTGGTTAATGGACTATAATAACAACTGCACAGCCACAATTTTTAAGATTTGTTGGGCGTGAGGCTGAAGTAGTTTGAAATAATTTCCCCTAAATATTATTTAATTTAACCTTTTATTGTTGAATACTTAGCACAATCTCAGCTTTTTACAAAAGTAGAATACATTTTGAAAAACAATCGTGTGGTCTCATATCTGTCCAGAGACCAAGGATTCAGAGATAGATGGAAAGATAGATTATTGTTAAGATTAAGAGATGTTTTATTCATCACACAGCGGGGAAATGTCAGTGTTGCATCACAAGTTACAGAACAGTAGGAATGAGGAGCACACCAGATTAATGAACAATAACTACACAAATTAAAATGAAAACAAAATCTCTAACATTTTCTCTGCTCTGGTCCAAAGTAAAATGCTAAATGCTTCATTAGCATTTTTCATAAAGTTAGCATTCCTCCAGTGGATTATCACCTGATCCTCTTGGTTCAGACCTTGAATCCTCTCTGCTCTGGTCTGGACCAGTGTAAAACCATGAATCCTCTCTGCTCTGGTCTGGACCAGTGTAAAACCATGAATTTTTTCATGGCAGCAACATCTCATGCAGAAAAAAGCAAGAAATATAACAACTGTTTCAGAGACACTGCTGTTTTGTAGAAAGTGGTGACGCAGTGTTTTCATTGCAATATAACATATCTTCTTTTCCCAAAAACTGCTTGTTAAAGATTGATATTAAATGGATATTGCGTTTCTAAATGTAGTGTGATGGTATTGATACAGTTTGGTTCAAAGTCGGAGACATTGCTGAGCTCCTTTTGAGGGGAATCTGAAAGAAAACAAGCAAATGGCCAATATTCAGGAGATGTTTCCATATTGAAGCGTGCGAAGAGCGCTGTGTCTGAGGACGTGTGGGGGTGGAGTGACACACTGGGAACGAGAGACTCACTGAACAGGAAGCATCCAACTGAATTCCCAGAGATGTCCACGCATGGCTGGGCTGAACTGGCCTGGATCTGTAGAGGTGGAGGCTGGGGGGGGGGGGGGTCGTGCGTTAGTGAAGGGGCTCCAGCTGGACAGAAGGGCCGGGACAGAGACGAGAGAGGCCCCCGGGCGCTGACAGGTGCGGGCCCCGGCTCCAGCTGAGGCCTCGCAGCTGACCTGGATCTGAGGACTTCTGCTCCTCCACAAATACATGTGAGATGTGTGAGGTGAAGGTTAGCTCCGGGTTGTTACTGACGCTACGCTCTCTGCTCTCTCAGACATGAGCTGAGTCAGCACAAAATATCATACTATAGACTTTAAATATTGAAGATGTAGCGACGCCAATCTCAACCGTTCAAACTAATGTGACATCACTTTGGCCTTCTGTGGCTTTGTCAAAATGGCCAAGGAGAAAATGTGAAAAAACACATTTGTGCGTTGGCTGCACTAGCCATTAATTTAACGAGTGCATTCAAAAGTCCACAGCAGCTAAACTAGACTCGTCCAAAAACATATACCCCCCCAACATAGACAGCATCTGGACACCAAGAGGAACAAGAACCACTTATGGACCAAGAACCACTTTTGGACCAAGAGCCACTTTTCGACCAAGAACCACTTTTGGACCAAGTGCCACTTTTGGACCAGAAGCCACTTTTGGACCAAGAGCCATTTTTGGACCAAGAGCCACATTTGGACCAAGAACCACTTTTGGACCAAGAACCAATTTTGGACCAAGAACCACATTTGGACCAAGAGCCAATTTTGGACCAAGAAGCACTTTTGGACCAAGAAGCACTTTTGGACCAAGAACCAATTTTGGACCAAGAACCAATTTTGGACCAAGAGCCATTTTTGGACCAAGAACCACTTTTGGACCAAGAACCACTTTTGGACCAAGAACCACTTTTGGACCAAGAGCCACTTTTGGACCAAGAGCCATTTTTGGACCAAGAACCACTTTTGGACCAAGAACCACTTTTGGACCAAGAGCCATTTTTGGACCATCCTGTAAAGACGTTTTCAAGAGGAAAGAAGACGTCATACAAAAGCATTGGGTAATTCTGTTTCTGGTTACACCCCCACCGGGGGGAGTGAGATTGCAGCATGGGCCCCTCTCACACTGGGACATATGTGAAGTTAGTGAAGATTATGTGATAAATAAATAATGGACTTATTCCATTGATGAAAAGAGATAAATGCGGAACACGTGTGAGTGCTCAGGACATGTTCCATGATCAAAACTATCAACACACTTTAAAAACCGTGTATAATGTTGATCAAGTGTCATTGAATGAATTTCTCACATTGATCGAGACTTTATTGATCCAGTTGGATAAATTCAGCAGCAGAAACACATCCATCCAAACAAACAAATAAATAATAGATAATTCATAATTAATAATACATTAACAATTCCATAAACATACGAAGCCAAACGTCTGACCAACATATTGTTATCCAAGACAATTTTTCATTTGATCATTTTGACAGATACTATTGTTAAATATGAATGATATTTTTTAAGAATCCTCATTTTAACGATGGCCGGGTCTTGTTCTATGAAAGTCCCACTGATTTAAACAAGTCCATCCATCCATCCATTTTCTACCCTTTAATCCATTTCTGGGTCAGGGGGGTGGCAGTCAGAGATGCCACCCGAGTCTCATAGCACCAGCCCCTCACTGACCCTCTGCAGGTGGTGAGTCCACAGGAGGACGGCTGCTCTCTGAGTGTGAGCATGGCCTTGATCTTTCAGTGGGGGCTTTGGGCAAAGTGGGGTTAAGTGTCTTGCCCAGGGACACAACGACAGCAGTCATCAGTGGGAGTCGATGGAGAAGGTGCAGAGGTGGGAATTGAAACCACGACCTTCTGGCCTTAAGGCCAATGCTCTACCAACTGAGCTACTGTCGCCACTAACAATTTAAACAAGTCTGAAATATATTAATTTTCCGACTGTCATGTTGCATGAGGTCGCACTTAAAGAGTAAAGGAGCAAATTAGATTTCTAATGTAGCGAGTGAGAAGGTCAGAGCTGCTGAACAAACACGGGACATTTTCTGTCATTTAACAATTTGCACTAAAGCAAAACAAGCGTTTCATTATAGAGTGAGACGGGCTGTTAGCTGTGGGCTAATTATTGTACATTGTTCTGACAGAGAAAGAGGACAATGGAAGCTGAAGCATTGTGTTCAAATTAGGGCTGTCCAAAATAGCGCGTTATTAACGCGTTAACGCAAATCAATATTACCGCCGTCATTTTTTTTATCGCGCGATTAAAAAAAAAAAAAAAAATTTTTTTTTTTTTTTATTTTTTTTTTACTTTTTATTGCAGACAAACACATATACAGAAAAAAAAATAGAAACAAAGAAAAGGACTAGTTCAGATACATTGTAGACAGAGATTACAAACAATATGTAGTTGGAGATACAGGGGGCCAAAGAAGAAACCCAGAAGGGCACATAGGAGGGGAGGGGGGGGGGGGGGGGGGGGGCATGAAGTGGGAGATGGGGGGGGAGGGGTTAATAAAAAAGGCAATACAAGCAAACAGTATACAGTCATAGATATACCGAAGGTAAACAGAGAAACAGCATAGAGTATTTACATGAACAAATTTACAAAATATTTACAGATTGTTTATCATCATCATAATGACACCATGATGTTTCTATACAGTCTATGGTCTATACCCACACATACACACACACACCCACACACACACATTGAAGGGGCTTTTTGTTACCAATTATTTATTTTGTCATCCATTTATTGATGATTTTGCATCAAATGTTAGTGTGTAATATAACACTACACATTGTTTTCAATAAAAAAAGCAATTGCACACAGCACGCAAATGTGTGACTAATTTGCGATTAATCGCGAGTTAACTATGAAATTCATGCGATTAATCGCGATTAAATATTTTAATCGTTGGACAGCACTAGTTCAAATACATGATAAGGATATTATGGAGGGGGAAGGTTTAACTCAGACACAACATAATAATACTATAATAATGTAGACACTACCTTTCTGAGGGGAAATATGTTATAACCTTTTGTCTACCAAGGAGTGTATTGTGTGTGTGTGTTGGGATAAACAACATTAAAACCAAATGTATAAAGTTAATTTTGTCTTCTTATTTCTAAGGCTTTGAAGGTTCTTTTAATAAGACAAGAAAGTAAAGAAAGCTAGTACTGCTTAATTACCACATGTTTGGGCGGTGCACTTCCGCCTTCATCAGAGGTGACACGTAATGGTGTGACTCTTATCAGCTGTTGTTGCCGGATGAGATCCCTCAGACTGACCACAACTCGCCTCAGCTCCCTCTTCACCAGGACCAGGACGTGGAGAGAACCAGGACCTGGAGTGGTCCAACAACTGAACACCAGTCGGGTTCAGATCAGGGGGACCGTTCTTCCCCTTCACCCCTCTCCAAGTGTCACTGGCATCACCCATGGGCGTTGAAGTCCCCCAGGAGAATAACGGAGTCCCCGGTCGGTGCACTGTCCAGTACCCTACCCAAGGACTCCAAGAAGGCCGAGTACTCTGCACTGCTGTTAGGCCCGTAGGTACAACAACAGTGAGAGACTTGTCCCCCACCCGGAGGCGGAGGGACGCGACCCTCTCATTCACCGGGGAGAACTCCAACACGTGGCGGCTGAGATGGGGGGGCAATGAGTATGTGGCCACCCCCCCTCGCCGCCTCTACCCGCAAGAAACACCAGAAAAGTGGAGCGTCCAACCCTCTCAAGGAAGGCTGTGTGTGGAGGTGAGGCCGACTATCTCTAGGTACTGTATCTCTCAACCTCCCCTACGAGCTCAGGCTCCTCCCTCAAGAGCTCAGGCTTCTCCCCCAAGAGCTCAGGCTCCTTCCCCCACGAGCTCGGGCTCCTTCCCCCCAAGTGAGGTGACGTTCCACGTTCCAAGAGCCAGGTGTTGTGTGTGTGACTGGGTCGCCGAGGTCTCCGCCCTCGACTGCTGCCCAGTCCTCGCTGCACCGTGCCACCACGGACCCCTCTGCGGGTGGTGGTTCCACAGGAGGCACGTACGAGCCACAACCCCAGGCCTGGCTCCAGGGTGAGGCTCCAGCTGCGCCATGCTGGGCGACATCACTGTTCTCATCGTAGTGCTTTCCATGGGTGGCTTCGAACTGCGCTTCGTCTGACTCGTCACCCAAGACCTGTGTACCATGGGAGACCCTACCAGGGGCATGAATGCCCCGACAACATAGCTCCCAGGATCACCGAGTACTCAACTCCCCCACTACGTTAATGTGGCAGTCCAGGGAGGAGGGGGGGAATCATGAATCATAAGTCTTCACAGACCAGTTACATCTGTCTCTTAGTCCACACAGAGATGGAGCAGTCGTCTACAGGAGGCACTTATTCTACATGTTTATAGTGGTGGGGGAAACCGGAGCAACTGATGGAAACCCACACAGACACGGGGAGAACATGCATACGCCACTCAGATTCAAACCGAGGACCTTCTCGCTGAGCTAAACACTCAGCCTCTGTGCCGTCCATTGAGGCAATAATCTACTTGAAAATTTCAATTGTAAAGTGTCTTTGTTCTCTGCAAAGTGCTACGTCAATAAATATCACTAAAAATACTTCATTAAAACGATCACATGTTGGCTTCAAGTCTCAAATATGATGAAATTAGTGAAATAAGGAAAATGCAGTTTATAACACATACAAACACACACACACACACACACACACACAAACACACTCACAAACACACACACACACACAAACACACTCACAAACACACACGTGCACAAACACACACACACACACACACAACACACTCACAAACACACACATGCACACACACACTCACACACACACACAAACACACTCACAAACAAACATGCACAAACACACACAAAAACACACACACACACGCAAACACACACACACACGCACAAAAACACACAAACAGGCTCCTGTGGATACTATCAGTGCTGCTCAGTGAGGCTCCAGGCCGGTCCAGTCCCCTCGCGGCTTCGACCAGAGGAGGGGGCCGCTTATCTGGCGCTCCCCCCCCCGTGGCCCCGTGCCTTGGCTGCAGGAGGAGGCAGATGCCATGTGGGCCCCAGTGTGTCGTGTGTCTGTGGCCAGTGCGGTTCAGAGCTGAAGGATGCTCTTTTCAATCAAATCTGTGTTTATGTTTGTGTGTTTATGGTTGTGTGTTTATGTTTGTGTTTGTGTGTTTTCCGCATGTGACAAAAGTATAAAGTCTAAAGTTTAAAACTGTGCAACTTTTCCACGTGTCACGGACCAGAGCGACTCGGATCTGCACCGATTCAACAAACGCCTTTTTGTGAATTACTGCGAGCAAAGCAAGAACTTACAAAGGAGCAGTATGTAAACATGTGGCCAAAAGTGGTACTGCAGCCTCTCCCACTGTCCCCGACTCCGGTTGCCAGATATGCAGACGAATCCAGCTGGGACCACAACAGCTGAATAGACAAGAGTTTTGTCAACAACAAATCTATAACCAACACCTTTTTCACAAAGGTAGAAATCCTGGTTTTATTCCTTGTTTTGTCGTTAATGATTTGAGAATCATAATGAGACCTTTTTTTGTTCTGCCCCACATGGTCCTTTACCAGTGAGATTAGCTCCACGCGGTGAGTTCTAGCGTCCGGATCACGGACTTTCTGATTAGTGAAGCGATGAGAGACCAGAGAGAGAGAGACCAGAGTGAGAGATCAGAGAGAGACCAAAGAGAGACCAGAGAGAGACCAGAGAGAGACCAGAGAGAGACCAAAAAGAGACCAGAGAGAAACCAAGGATGTGTCCTATAAAAAGTTCTTATTTTAATGTTTAGTCTGTAAGAAATATCATTAACTTTAACAAAAAACACTGTCTCTGAAATAAAGGCGCTGTATGGTTACCAACGGCAACACTGTCAAAAACATGAATATCGGAGTCTGATTTGAGAACACCAAGAAAGAAGTTCTGTTCAAGTGAAAAAATTATAATAATAATAATAATTAGTAGTAAGTAGGAGTCATCCCAATCTTTCCACTCGTCCGAAACACGTGGATCAGGCAAAAATCCACCGGAGCATTTAGCATTTGACTTTGGACCAGAACCAAGCTCCACCTCTGCTGCTGTGACCTGGAGGACTGTATTACTATTATTATCATTAGATACTTTTAGAATTATTATGGGCGACAATGGCTCAGATGGTAGAGCATTGGCCTTTGAGCCTGAAGGTCATGGGTTCGAGCCCACCATGAGACCTTCTCCACCGACTCCCACTGATGTCTGCTGTCATTGTGTCCTTGGGCAAGACACGTAACCCCACTTTGCCTGAAGCCCCTGCTGGAAGATCAAGGCTCCTGTGGACTCACCACCTGCAGGAGGATTAGTGAGGGGCTGGTGCTGTGTACTGGGCATCTCTGGCCACCCCCCCGACCCAGAAATTGATTAAGGGGAAGAAAATGGATGGATGGATCGACTTTTAGAATTCTCCATTTATTTATTTTTGTTTGGATGGATTTGTTTTTGCTGCTACTGGACACCTGCATTTCTCCAACAGGGATCAATAAAGTATCTATCTATCTATCTATCCATTGTTTCTATCTCTCGTGTGAATGTAATCACTATAAAAACTTCCCATCATTTGTCCCTCATTAGAAAAACACTACTCACATGAAATCACTGAAACACATTTGCACATTTGCAGACATCGGAATCGTCTCATTTTTCTAAAAACCAGGGCCTTGAGAACCATCTTTTTTTCCTCAGAAACGACATTAAGTCTTCACAAAACACCGTTCTAAATATAGTCTGAAATGTGCAGCAGATTAGCAGCTCTGATGGCTCTATACGGCGGAGGCTGTCTCCATCCTTGACTGGCTCAGCTTTGAACCGCAGCACTCCACTTCCTGACGGTTAAATACTGCAGCTCCGAGGCGCTGTGTTAAGGCGTCTGTGCAAAGACTGAAGCTCAATGAGTTTTTCATGAAGTGGTGTCAGTGGAAATCCTTTGCACTTCTGTGTCTCTTCAACAGAACTGCAGAGGATTAAGCAGAGCCATGTTTGACTCCAGGGCAAACCCAAAGTATTATAAGTGTCCGAATTACAGCCAGTTGTTGGAGTTGAGCAGAATGTGTGTATTTTTGGAGCAAAGAGAAGCAGGCGGTGATGTAGCAGTGACTTTCCTTTGATGTGAGATCATAAATGCGCATGTCGACACCAGTAATGCACAATGGAGGCGGTAAAGACGGCAGAGGATGACCCATTTTACACAGAGAGGACTTTGCACTGGAAATGAAACGGAAAGAGGAACGAATGTTATTATTGTTCATGAAATAACAAATGTTTTTTGTAGACTCGGACTGTCGGAGCTTAAAACAGCCATTTATTTTATTTAGCACCAAATAAATAGGTAAAAAAAAAAGAAAACAAAAGTAAATACATGTTTTTCCTCTGCCTCCCCCTCCCCCGGTCTCTGAACAGGTTTTACTCAAGACCTAGATTTGTATCATCACATGGCCACACGTATGTACTGTTCTTTTTAAGTTCTGGAAGAGAAAAAACAATTATAACAGGCAACAAAATAACATTACAAAATAAAAATGATAAAAAATAATAATAATCAGATATGGAATCAGGATCATTAATATTGGAAATAAAACTACAATAAAATCAAATACATGACAAAGCCACATGTGATATTATTTTGTATTATTTCATATTAGTATGAGCAGCCGATAGAGGAAGAGGAGGAGGCGGGAGATTGAAAGGTCAGATGTGACACTGAAGGATATACTCTTCATCGTTATGTCCTTTCGTCTTCGTTATCGCACTTCTCTGAGAAATGTCTGAATTATGCAGAGCTGAGATGGCTTCACAACGACATGACAAAAGTATTCTTTATTATTTATATTTATTAACAATAAAACATTTGACTATGGGCTCGCCGCATGGACTTTGTCACTCTGCATTACAATGAGAATACATGTTCTTTTCTAACAGTTAACACTTTTTGAGTCAATATTTCAAAATACGAAACTGCATCTCACCTTTTGGTCTATAAATATAAAAACATAACTACTTGTTTGTTAGTAGTGCTCCTAAATATTAGAAAATCAGAAAAAGAAACATTTAGATTGCTTTAGACCAGGAGGAGACCAGGAGAAGACCGGGAGGAGATTGGGAGAAGACCGGGAGGAGATCGGGAGGAGACCATGAGGAGACCAGGAGGAGACCGGGAGGAGACCGGAGGAGGACCCAGGACACAGAGGGACTATCTCTGGCCTGGGACCGTCTTGGGGTCTCCCTGGATGAGCTGGAGGAGGTGTCTGTGGAGTGGGAAGTCTGGGCTTGGACTTCGGCCCCCGCAACCCGGCAACGGATGAAGCGAAAGGAAATGTAATGGAATTAAATGAAAGAAAAATGAAAGAAAATGTAATGATAGTAAAATAATATGAAATCCATGGAGTTATTAACTGGTTCTGATCATGGAAATAGGTCTGATTTTTCACATTTTATAAAGTATTTGATTAAAACAAGTGCAGATTATTACACAACAGTTAAACTATTTTAAAAATGCATTTGTTTATAAACTATTAAACTATAGAGACACAATCATCAGATAATACATACAGCTGAAGTACGTCACTTTGGAACCATTTTGTGATTTGATTTAACCTAAAGTTGCTTAACTCATTGCCTGCCAGCCGTTAATGAGGATTTCACTGACTTTCAAGACCCACAGAATAATGTATGTTATGACGATGTGAAATATGAAACCAGATTCTGAAAGATTGGACTGTCTAATTTCATCAGCAAAAATAAGTTTGTTTTTAGCTATTTTTGTTCTCTTGTAATCCCCAGTCGAATACAGGGAAGTTTGACAGAAATCCCCAATCTCAGACAAATACGTCAATGGCAGTCAATTAATTAAACACAACTTTTTCCATGAAAAAAACTTAATCTATAAAAAACTAAAACCACAAATATGAAACAGGGTCAAAAATCTCTCATCAGCACCAAAACAAACTGATTTAAATATAAATTTGCGAACACACAGATGATGTTTTGAGCTGGAATCAGGCCTAATTCAGACTGAACCAAATGTGACTTAAAGTAAAAAGAAAATGGAACGAGAGGAGCAGCTGAAGGGTCCAAAGAGCGCCCCAAAAGCGGAGAACGGGTCGAACCAAAGCAGTCAATGACGTAAAAACAAGGGAAAGCTTTGGAGAATATTGATTTAATGCAGCAGCTTGGGCCAAGAAGTTCAGCCCCGTATTACCCACGCTCTATTTCCCACCTACAGCCCGGCCCTGGGTCTGGCTCTGGGTCTAGGTCTAGGTCTGGGGCTGGGTCTGGATCTGGGTCTGGGTCTTGGTCTGGGTCTGGGTCTGGATCTGGGTCTGGATCTGGGTCTGGGTCTGGCCCCGAGTCTGGGTCTGGGTCTGACTGTGTGGCTGTGAAACAGGAGCATAAATATGTGAGAACCTTCTTTGTGTGAACATGAAGGGATCGGTGAAGGATCCTCCCACCTCCGCACCTCGGCTTCCACGTCTCCGTTTTAATTAGCTCCACTTCTGATAAATAATTGATTAGATGCACCAATTATTGCCATGTATTTGATCTTATTTTGTGGGTTGGATGTATTTTCTGACTTTGGGAGAAAACAAAATGCCAGGAATTAGAGGTTTTATAGAATATACCCACAGTCCACATGTTTTCATTGACACCATTGTACTTTCTATGCTTACATGTTGTTGGTAATTGTTTTTTATTAAAAGACAAAGCAAGTATAGAAAAATATACATAACATATACATATATATATATATATATATATATATATATATATATATATATATATATAAATATACATAACATATACATAACATATATATATATATATATATATATATATATATGTTATGTATATTTTTCTATACTTGCTTTGTCTTTTAATAAAAAACAATTACCAACAACATAGGCATAGAAGCATAGAAAGTAAGCATAGAAAGTACAATGGTGTCAATGAAAACATGTGGACTGTGGGTATATTCTATAAAACCTCTAATTCCTGGCATTTTGTATATATATATATATATATATATATATATATATATATATATATATATATATATATATATATATATATATATATATATTGTTTTTTTTTTGGTTTTTTTAAAATCAGAGACCCTTACCAAATGGTCTAGATCCAGTTTGGTGTTAAAAGCCTAAACCAAGAGAGTAGGCAGTGACTGAAAAGGTAACACCAAATGGTAAAAAAAAATGTACCATTATTATTGTGTTTTGTATATGGTTTATGTAATGTTAGACTTGCTTTGGGAGCCACAGTAAATAGCCTGGTGTGGACTGTGATAACTTCAGACTCTCAAATCCAATGGAAGTGGAAGTGACTGCGCGTGTGCGTGCGCGTGTGCGTAACGACCTCCTCTTTGGTTCAAGTGTCTTTCAGCTTTACTCGCTTTTCTTAAGTTAAATTGCTTCGGTGACAAATAATCAGCTCTCTGGAACAATTTGTTACGTACTGCCTCCTCCTCTGCAAAAAAACATACACATCAACACAACACGGAAAGATACACGCACACACACATACACGCACTATACAGGCATAGGAATACACGCACATACACATGCACATACAGCCATAGGCACACACAAACACACACGCACGTACACACACACATACACACACACATTCTTCAGGAGTGTGTAGGCGCCTCCCGTTCCTCGCCTCTCCACGCGCCCTGAGCCAATGGCACACGGAGCAGGCTTAACGTGCCCGCTCCGTGGACCAATGGCAGGCCCGCAGCTACGTCACATGACTTCTTTCTGTTGGCGTCTCTCTCCACACAGAGCGCAATCCCGGCGAGTGTAGGCATCACTCCGGACCTGACACCGGACGCGGCAGACCTCAGCTCCTCCGCGCCTCCACTCCGTGTCCTCCGCGCTCTCTTCTCCAAACCCGGGCGCGTCTTGACGAGTGGAGTCGTCCTTTTACGTCGCGCAGAGACACACGCAGAACCCCCACATGACCAGAGGATCCATCTGCGCCAGACAAGAACGTTACGAAGTTATGAAAACGTAAGTAAGCTGTTATCAATGATTCATATACATCATCTCCGTCTCGTACTTAACAAAAGCTATTTACTATCACCATTTCAATGCAACTTTTCTACTTGTAACTTTCACTCTGATTTTCACACATTGCATCTAAACTTTTAATATCAAACAAACCCAGTGTGATTTTCTATTTTATTCGCCATGGATCAAGTGGATGTGTGCGTAAAGGCGCAAACAGAATGGTGTCTACGCAGTCTTTCAGGAAGGAATAGGAAAAAAAAAAAAAATGTAAACCCACTGACCCTAACGCCAGACAGGCTGTGCAACCGGTCCCCACAGCTCATGAGAACAATTATGGCAAGCCAGAGGGGCAAAAATTAGTAGTTATGGTTGAACAAGGTAGTACTTAACTCCGAGCTGCTGAACCGGAGCGGAATCCTGTCTGTAGAAAAGTTGTATTCAGTAATTTTCTGTTTATTTTCAGTAGTTCTGACAGCGGGTCATGCAGGTCACTGATCCCTTTTATTGATTGGAATTAGGGAGTCACACAGGGCAGAAGATTTATGTCTGTGTTGAAGTGATTAAAGAGAAAAGTCCAGGATGTTTTTAAATATATATAACCCGCCCTCACGCCATGATTTCTGCACAATCAGTGGGGACAAGCTGCAGGGGGAGATCGCTTCCATTTGATGTTTTGAAAGGCTTCAGATGGCTTTAATTAGGACCTATAAAATCTGTCTGCCCCATTCTCTCAGGCGGCACTCGGCTCTGGAGAAGGGAGGGGATTGGCACACACACACAACACACACACACAACACACAAAGAAGAAAACGCTACACAGAAAGTCACTTCAGCAAACGCAGCGTCTAATGAAATTTTTATAACATTTTTTTTCTCTCGACGGTATGAAGGCGCTGTGGTTATCTCTTTGTCTGTCTTGCACTCTCTTACCCCTCCCTCTTTCTACCCCTGCACCACCCCTTCTCCCCCATAACTACCACCTACTGTCAGTCTGACCCCGAACACCTGAAGGCGACACGTAATGATCAAAAAAAGTTCCTGTCTGTCTGGAACTTGCCACATTTTCTTCCACATCTCCTCCTCCTCTTGTGTCAAAGCTGTCTCCTCATTGGCCTGGGCTTTGCTGGTCTCTCTCACTATGGTCTTGACTTCATGGTGACCACATTAAACAACATTGGAGGTTGTTTTTGCCTGGTCTTTGGTGCATGCATTTCCCCGGGTTCCTTTGCCACCGCTCGCCGCTGCTGGTGCCAGAGTTAGTCACGTCGCAGCAATAGACGCTGCAGTGTTGAAGGAAACATCAAAGAGTTCTTCTAAGTCTTTGTGTGCGAGGAGAGAGGATTCAGCTGCTCTTTTCAGTGCTACAGTGGGCTCCATGGGACACGGGTTAAGGATTATAAATGCAGTTTTACTTCCACCTTTTCACATAAATTTATCTTTTTATTGGTTTTTATACAGAGTCAAATTGTGTCCGACATTTCTCACATTACACATTTTAAATTGGCTCTTGCTATCTGTTATGGTTAATAATTTGTCGGAATGAGTTGGTAGATGTTTTAATTGTATCTGGTTATCTGTGGACGGCCGTTACATCAGAGCTGCTTTGAAGTTTCCATAGTAAATTAGGCTTCATGGTTGGAGAGGAGCTGGCTAAGCGCTCAGGCTTTGTTAGACACCTTATCTTTGAGACGCTGAGAAATCTCAAGCCATTTCATCTCCTTCCCAGGCACCACGCATGTATTCATTTGAAATTGTTTGCTTGAAGATTAGATTTTACACCCATTTGGAATTATTTAACGCAATCATTTCTGCATGAGGCAAATGTTGGAGGATTTGCACAGACTTCTGTCCTAATCCCGCCACTTGTTCCATGCTTTTCCGTGTGTGTGTTTGGTCTCTTCTTCCTTTGAAGCGGGAAGTCATAAAAACTCAATGGCTGCAACAAGCTGTTCCTGGCTCCTTCACTTTGAGGCTGGCTACCTGCACTTGAAAAGGAGGCCCCTCTCTAACGAAGGAAGAGGACGATTTTATGGAAGGCGGAGCATGTGGGGGATGCGCAAGTGCTGCTCCTGTCACAGAATCATCCACAGGGAGCCCAGGACATTTATGGAAACAGTAGAAAAGCCAAAGTAGTGAAATATATTTTTAGTTGTTACTTTACTTCCTCCAATAGAGAAACACGTGAGAATCGTCTGTTGTGTAAGCAGAGAATATGTTTGTTTAGGACATTTTTCTCACAGATTGTTCCTCTTATTTCACTTTCATAACCATCGGGCATATACCGTTGTCGTGGTTACTCTACTCTAAAGATGAATCAAAATAAGATAAAATATTCCTTTATGGGTCCCACTGTGGGTAGATGTCAGTGTCATTGTTGCATATCACAGCAGAGAAAGAAGGAAATAAGACTCAGATTGCTTCAAACTGTCTATTATTTAAGATAATAAACAGTAGAATTAAAATTATAGGATAATACGGTGGAAAAATGGAAGAAAATAAAATAATATATAATGAACTCTGGAGCCATAATTGCACTTGATTCAGACGTAAACAAAATAAACCAAGAAAAAGTACATTCGCAGCACCAATAGCAGTAGCATTAACCAATCAGCGAGTGACAGATTTGCACTTTGCTAAACACATTCCTCGGTGAAGCCACGGGAGGAATGCAAAATGGAGGAGTCATTAAATTTCCTGTTCATGGGAAAAGTCTCCAGCCGTGAAGAGGTTAATTGTTTTTGAATCTCCATCGAAGGGAGAAGAGGAAAGGCCTGGACGGGAGGTTCTGTAATTGAACAGCTGATAGTTGAGTAGTTTATGGATTAGTGCATCCAAACAAGGGGGAAATGTGTGCTGTGGTGTGGTTAGGCCGAGGGACGTAGACGGTGGGGGTTCGGATCTTAAAGGAAAGACTGAAATCCTGTTTAGTCTTTGGCTGTGACCTTTGATCCCGGGATGCCTCTCTCCAGTCCAGGTGCATGGCGCTCTCCTGGAGGTTGCACGCTGCTTTTCAGCACGGGATAATTTTTCACACATTTAAGTAAAAAGGGCTTAAGTCGGCCTTTTCACCCCCACATCTGATTTTCTCCCTGCCGCTCACAGGAGGTTAGGAAGTCCTGCCGTAAACAACGTTGGACAATCGAAAATGAGTTTACCATAAATGGAGGAGACTGTTTGGCCTCCATTGTCCTGGACTTTTCTATGGAGTAACAAAAGCACGCGTCGAATCACATCATTATGTCATTTATTAAAAGACTGGAACCAAAAGGATCATTTTAAAATCAAGGAAATGAGTGGTAGTTGAATTGGCAGTTTCAGAGAGATAGAAGTGAACTATTACACACCGTAGCTGTTTTGTAAAGTAATTATTGAATCACTCGAAATGAAAATTCTCCTTCAAGATTTTGTTGTTTTGTTTCTCGGTGATGTGCAGCTTTGAAGATTCAATAGCATCACACTTGCATTTTAGCTCCATTGAAAAAACAAAACAGAAACACAGCTTCGTCTGTTGTAGACTTTTTAGAAATGGTGATAATTATTTATGAATAAATACCCACATTTTCAGCACAGCAGACTCTTTTATGACATCATTTCTATTGAGGTTTAAAAATGTCAAACTATAGAATAATAATAATCTAACTGTTTCCATAGAGTTTAAACATAAAGCTCCAAACACAACTCTATTTTTACATTTGATTTAGAAACAGACAAAGCATGTCAATCATAGACTGTAAATATTAAAGACACAGTCACTTCTGTCTCCACTGTTTAAACTTATGTGACATCACATTCGCCTTCTGTGGCTTTTTCAAAATGGCCGCGGGGCAGGAGCATGTGAAAAAACAAATTTGCGCATGAGTTAGCTGCACTAGGCCAATTCATTTAAGGAGTGCATTCAAAAGTCCACAGAGAAAAAACTAGACTGCTCCAAATAAAATATACTCCAGACTCCAGAAGACGCCATACAAAAGCATTGGGTAGTTCTCTTTCCGGGTACACCCCCACCAAGGGGAGTTAGATTGCACCCTGTCCGTCCGCTCTGGTTTAAACGACTCTTTGATGAGCTTGATGTCACTCTCAAAGGTTAAAGATCTGAAGAGTGTGGAGAAGGGTGTCCTCTTTTACAATCTCCTTTTTTTTCTTACTCTAAAATATGGATAAACGCAAAGAGGATCTGACATGGTGCAATAATCTCAGTGGTGTTAATCAGAGACATGTCATGTATAATTACAGTGCGTTTGATAATCCTGCCGACAACCACCTCCGGCCGTAAGCAAAAAGTTTCTTGATGCTATTATGGGTGGCGCTAATAAAATCCAAGAATCCCCCGGTGGTGCAAACCCAAGTGCACGGCCTGCTGATTAGAGCACTGTAAGGTTAATGAACCGATCTACAGACGTTCTGCTGCCATCTGGGCGGAGTGACGAGCAGATGCTTCCCCCACTGCTGTACAAAGGAATGTGCGGTTTGTGGAGAGTCATATTTAACACTGAAGGCAACAGGAAGGAGCCAAATGAAATTAAAAAGCAGCTGTAATTTCAGTTTTCTCCGCAGCCACGAGAGACGCTTGATCCCAGGACACGGGTTGAATGTTAATGGTGTCGAGGGCGAGATAAGACCTCGTTGGACCGGTCTGTGAAGTGTCATTTCATTTGAGAAAAGGCAGTGTGTGTGTTTTCGTGGGTTCCCAGTGGCGCTGGGATCACCGCTGACCGGAAGATGGCGTCTTCAAAGCTTGCATAACAATGTTCCCTTCGTGGTTAGCTATAGCCTCAATATATTTCACTCATTTACATTTGTTTATTCGTTCAAACATGCACGAGATGAAGAAGGAAGAAAGTCCTTTATTTGTCGCACAGTTTGATGCATACACATATACATATACACATACACATACACATATACACATATACACATATACACATACACATATACAGTACATAGACATATACACATCAAGGCAAGCAGCGAACATCACTTCCACGAGCAATTATTCACAGGAAAGTAGGATTTTATGAGAAAACTAGAAAACCTGGGCTTGAATTTTAAAGGGATTGGTCGTAGCAAGAAGTTTATTTATTTCAACCCTCTCCCATCCATTCACACACCACAATATAATACAAATAAAAAAACATTAGAACCATACAATACCCTTTAAGAAAACACACAACAGTCAATGACGCACACACGCACGCACACACACACACACAGTTTTCAAATTTCAGGATATAAAATCTGTTAGTTTGATTATGAAACCTATATATAACTTTAAGGTCAGTTAGGGCCGTTTCACCATTAATATTTGCTTAAACTGCTTTTTCTTTGGTGCAGCTCTGGCTTTTTACATTTTGTTTACAAAAATACAGTATTTGAACCAGTGCCAAAAGTAGTTTGAATCATCTTATGATTGAATTATCTTATTGTTTATTGTGACATAACTATGTGGCATCATTTCGGTCATCAAAGGAATGGATAATAATAATACTAATAATAATAATGTGACTGTAGCATGTACTGAGAAAACGAGGGGAAAGAATATATATAATATTGATAATTATAGCTCACCCCTTGTATAAACCCGAAATTAGCATGTTTTGACAAAGGCTTGGCACATGTCACTCTATTTTCTATATCGGTTTCACATTTTTAATTACTTGAAAGAAATAAACCTTTGATTGCCTTTGTAATTTTCAACATTTCAGACACAAAGTCCTAGCAAATCGTTTAGCGGAAAAAATCCATTCTCCGATTCCAACTATCGACCTCCACATCCACACAGCCACTGGCTTCGTGTGCGCATCCCGGTGCCAGTCTCATCTGGACGCTCGTGTTACAAACCACGGGGTCCTGGGCCCCTTCAGCCGCGGAACAAAACCAAGTCTGTCGTAGATCAATACGGAGCAGGGAAACACTCCGAGAAATCAAAGGCTTTTCCTGCCACGCTCATAATCTCTGACCGTCTGCTGGAATCAGATAAGGAAGTGTGAGGTCTCGCCCCAGAGCCTGCCCGGGCCCAGAGCCTGCCGGGCCCCAGGGCAGCAGGACCTGACAGATATGGCTCTCTCTCTGCAGATGGGGAAGCAGCGGGTTCTGGGCTCCGTGGGTTTGGCTCCAGTCGCGGAGGATGAGACCGAACAGATGAGCAGATTAATGGGGATTGAAGGAAGTGTGTAATCTGTGTCGTGTGATGGAAATGTGGGTCTGCTTTCACTTGTTTTAGATTTTTATAGGCTGCGAAAGAATCCAGTGGAATGAGAGCGGGTTCTGAACATAGGCCGTGTATATTAAAGATATAGTGACGCCTATCTCGGCAGTAGAAACTAATGTGACATCACTTTGATGTGAAAAAACACATTTGTGCGTTAGCTGCACTAGCCCCATTCATTTAACAAGTGTATTCAAACGTCCACAGCGACTAAACTAGACTGGTCCAAAAACACTCCCGTCAACATTGACAGCATCTGGAACCAAGAGGACCAAGAGCCACTTTTGGACCAAGAACCACTTTTGGACCAAGAGCCACTTTTGGACCATCCTGTAAAGAACATACAAAAGCATTGGGTAATTCTCTTTCCAGGTATACCCCCACCGGAGGGAGTGAGATTGCAGAAAAAATAGTTAAAAAACTAATACATATTATCATGGAAACCATCAAAGACACTTTGTACATTAGATTTCCCCCTTTCCCCTCGACCCACGGTGGATTTTCTTACTTTCGTCTCTTCATTTCTTACAACAAGATGTTTTTCTTGTTTTAAGTAAAAGGATATTGTGCCAAAGGTGGATCATGAATCTGTGAACTCAGATTCATTCAGTCGAGGAAAAGTAAACTCTTGGTCAGATTTAATCACTAAAAAAACATAAATTATGCTTAAGTTTGTTGTTGCTTGAATGCAGTTTGTCATAAGATTATTTTACTAGTTTTAAGATAATAATTCTTCATAATGTTATTAAAGAAAAAAGTCGGAGCAGTAAGTTTTTAAGATTGTTTTAAGTATTTTTTCTTATTTCCAGACTTTTCTTGTTTAGATAAAATAAGTTTGTGATGCTGAATTTTAAGAAAAAATCTAAAATGTTTAAGAAATAACTAGTAAATAATACTTGAAATGTATGTTTTTAAACTAGAATCAAGTCGTTTGGGGCTAGTTTTATTTTATTATTTTTAGAAATCTTAAGTCATTATTTTTTCTTCTATTGACAGATCATTTGTATTATTTAAAGCAGTATTTTACTTATTTTCATTTTATTTTTTTTCCAGTGAAAATTGGAGTCGGGCGAGGTGGCTTTATTAGATTAAGTTACGAGTCATGTCTGTGGAGAGCAGAGACGCCAAATACACACATTACACATTTCATTCCAATCCAAAAATCGCAGATTGAAGCAAATACAGACAGAAAGTTTCTGCAGAGAAGCCGAAAGGTCGAAGGTCAGGGCTGTAGGAACAAAACGATCCCGGTTTGAAAGAAGTGATTTGCACAGTTTTATGAAAGGTGGATTTGGTTTGGTCCGTTGGTTCCATTCGAGCAGCGAAAGAATCACTTTTAAAAGCGGGGGTTAAGCTCAAAAAGGTGTTTTACTCCAGTCTACAGTAAGCTAAAAATAAATACAAATAAAATGAAATAAGTAAAATACTGCTTAAATTAATACAAATGATCTTTCAAAAGAAGAAGAAAATTTGACTTAAGATTTCTGAAAATAATCAAATAATACTTGCCCCAAACGACTTGATACTAGTTTAAAAACTTACATTTCAAGTATTATTTACTTATTTCTTAAACAATGTTGATGTTTTCTTAAAATACAGTATCACAATTGTATTTTATCTAAACAAGAAAAGTCTGGAAATAAGGAAAAATACTTCAAACAATCTTAAAAACTCACTGCTCAGACTTTTTTCTCTAATAACATCATGAAGAATCATTATCTTAAAACTAGTAAAATAATTTTATGACAAACTACATTCAAGAAACACAACTAAGCCTCATTTATGTTATTTTTAGTGAATAAATCTGACTTATTGCAGTGAAACAGAATAAATACATTTCACTGCATCTTTGAACAGATGTTATTTCAAGTTTAAAGCATCACAGTTTGTAGCTTATTATTGATGTAGAAAGAGCAAGTGTCGAAAATCAACACGCTAAAACTAGAAAACTAAATAATCTAACCCTGTGAAGTCACAGGGTTTTGTGGTACACTGAAAAAAAGCAAGTAAATAATACTTGAAATGTATGTTTTTATTCTAGAATCAAGTTGTTTGGGGCTAGTTTTATTTCATTATTTTAAGTCATATTTTCTTGTTCTTTTGGCAGATCATTTTTCTTTAGTAATTTACTTATTTTCATATATTTTTTCCAAGGGATGTTTTCCAGTGTATTGAGTATTAGTATTAGTTTTGTGACAGCCTTACGTTGTTATGCTGAGGTGCAAAAAGACAAAACATATATTTATTACATCTTCCGTCCAAAATATTCCTCTGTGGTTTCTTTCAGACCGTTCCAAAAGTCAACAGAGATCAGAAAATGTCTTTTTTGTTCGATCTCTCATGCTCTAAACCAGTGATCCCCAACCTTTTTGAACCGTGGCACATCTTTTTCATTCAAAACAATGACATTCCACACCACCAGCTACAAAACGGTCATTCTTATCAAAGTGTATAATGTAGAAAATCAAATATAAACTTCTATTTGATTTGTATTTCACATTATTTTGACCAAGTAGGTGCTAAAAGGTGGGGGTCCAATGTATCTCACTTAAATGTGCTCAAGCTTGCTTAATTTTGAACCAAGATGATGGACAATTAAACTACATCTCCCAGGGTGCTTTGCAGTGCGGTCACCAAACCCGACCCGCAGCCCTCCTCAACCCTTGTAAACGCCTTCGGTGCAAAAAGTATTTCTAATTTTAGTATTTATTCTGTATTTCACATTATTTTGACCAAGTTGGTGATATTGGATAATTCCCAAGGCACATCAAATAACATCTGAAGGTGCACAAATGTACCGCGGCCCACTGGTTGAAAAACACTGGTATAAACAACACAGACAGACAGTATTGTGGCTCATGGACCTTCAGGCAGAATGCACTGTTTTTATGTTAATCCTTCGTTGTTTATAAAATCCATGTTTTAGTAAATAGTCTTGTAACTTCACATGTTGTAAAAGTCCAAGCCGCTTCAAAACACACGTTATTCCTTCCCCTGCAGCAATCTTACTTTTCTACCTGTGTTGCTTTCCAAAAACTCTCCCACTCTCCTTTTCTGGCACTTTGAGAAAACCATTTGTGCTTTAAACTTCCTGAGGATAAAACAAACCTTTTTATTAGCGATGCGGGGACCATTGGGTATAATGAAGTTGTGTTTCTCAGCATGGGTTAGTCAGGCTCATGATTACAAATGCTCCGTTCATTATGTCCCGTCTCCTCTCGCCTAATTGAGGACAATCTAACGAGACAATGGGGTCCCGCTCGTCATTCTGCATCAGTGGCTTGTTTTTGTGGAACGTGGCGGTCTGTGGAAACGGCGGGGGTCCAATGGATACTCAAATGTGCTCAAGCTTGTTTAATTTGAAGCAAGATGATGGACAATTAAACTACATCTCCCAGGGGGCTTTGCAGTGCGGTCACCGAGCCCGACCCGCAGCCCTGTCCGACCCTTGTAAACGCTTTCGGATGTGTCTGGGTCAGTCGTTTCGGGGCGTAGCGTGGTTGGGAGTCATAATGACTGCTGTGGGGGTGAGTCCCTGGGTGCCTGGCCTCCTCTCACCTCCCTAATACACTCTGAATACATTTCCCTGGTGCGGGGGGGTGCGGGGGGACCAGAAGGAGGGCCCGGGTGGATTATGTCTGGCCATGGTTTTGGAGTGTTTGTCATCTGGCCCCTGGAGGCCTTCGCTTCTTTGTGAGGATTTCAGGGGCCCGCACAATGTCAAGGGACACGCCGTGAATAATCAGAATGCAAGTTTAAGGTGAAAATGGGACCTCATATTTTAATTTGTTGGACCCTCGGAGACGGAAAAGGACTTTTTTAGCTCAAAGTGCAACACTCAAGGGCTCAAGCTAAACTGTTAGGCTAGCTACTTTTATGTTTTTGATTGATTGGATTTATTTCAAGATTATAAACAGAAATCAATGATATAATTAACAGCAATTACATATTATACATGATATTTTTAGACAATATTCTTTATTTTAGTTGAGTTGTGCCATTTCCAATGCTGGGTATGACACAAAAACCAAAACAAAATTTTAAAAAGGGTTGAAAATAAATGGTTTGGAAAGGGGTTGGATGAAGCGGACGCTGATTTAGCTCCAACCGCTCTCACTCATTCATGTAAAGGCCCATGTAAAGGTCCACGTAAAGGCCTATTTAAAGGCTCATATAAAGGCCCATGTAAAGGCCCAAGTAAAGGCCCATGGAAAGACACATATAAAGGTCCACGTAAAGGCCTATGTAAAGGCTCATGTAATGGCCCAAGCAAAGGCCTATGTAAAGGCCCAAGTAAAGGCCCATGTAAAGACACATATAAAGGTCCACGTAAAGGCCTATGTAAAGGCTCATGTAATGGCCCAAGCAAAGGCCTATGTAAAGGCCCACATAAAGGCCCATGTAAAGACACATATAAAGGCCCATGTAGGGACCCTATAAAGACCCATATGAAAACCCATGTAAAGGGTTTCTCCGTGATTCCGTCCGTGCACACGTGTTTAGCTCGAGACAGAATCCATCAAAGAGAAAGTGATGCTCATTTATTTACATCGATAAATCAGAAGCCGCCACAGCTTGTCTCTCTGCGATGAATATTCGCGTGAGAAATCCATCAAACTCACTAATGTTTCCTCGATGAGACGCTGCGGCTTTGTTTGTTCCACGTCAGTTTTAATCTAGGGTCTCGGGGCGAAGACGACTCAAAAGTAGGAAAAATTTGAGAAAAAATGGTACAAATCCACAGACAGAGCTGTTCCTAATGTGCTGTTCTCAGTGTGGGAGCCATTAACACACTCTGACATGTGCCGAGTGCCATTACACAGATCAGGACGGTTATGCTAATTTTACTGATTATGAAACTGAAACCGTGATGCTAATGTTTGTGTTTGCATAGTACTAAGAACAAAGAAAAGACCGCACGAGATCAGGTCACAGTTTAGTTTGGTCAGAACTGAAGATGATTGTTGAT